TAATATCTGGCAGCATTTTGGGAAAAGTCAGGCCATATTTTTCATTTCCAGAGCCAATAAACAGAGGACCATCCCAAYTAGTAGTAATCATTTCAGTGGACTCTTTTCACGTAAGACCTTGGCAAGGGTCATAGCACTTGAGCCTTTTCTGTTACTTTTTTTTTGTTTGATTGATTTTTTTTACAATAGCACTTATCAGCTCCAAAGCACAGCAGAGAGGAAACCAGTAATGGAAGTGGGAAACACAAGGGGGTAACAAGGTTTCCAGGTTTCTTCTTTTCTCCTTTCTTTACAGCTTCATCCATCTTGTGTACTTAATTTCAGAGTACATACTTCAACCATTATGTTGGCTCCTTACCAAAAAGCCAAGCTTGACTTTCAACCCTAAACCTTGCCACACACAAAAGTAAAGTAGTTACCTTTGTACCATGGCTTGTGTCAATTCTTCCCATGTAACAGTGGAAAATAACAACTCAGAATCTATGGACCCAGTTTTAGCTTCCTGCATTTGACAGCTCGATCCTTAGAAACTCTCAGCACTGGAAGTTATGAGAACGACAGTTTCCTTCTGTAGATCATCCTTTCTGACAGTGCCAGGTTTAAAATCTACAAAGCATCTTCTTGTTTTATAATTTAAAGCTTTTATTGTCAATAACCTGACTTCAAGCCAATATTAAGTCATCAGTACAACCCTCAATAAATACAAGATCACTTACCAAATAAAGTTTCTGTTGTAGTCAAAAAGTAGAAATAGGTGCCATTCCTTACCATTCCTTTGGTTCCAGCCCAGTTATTTACTATAAACTTATCTTTTACTTTATTTTTATGGTCAACACAAATTTGTATGAGTACTCAGAAATCTGCTACAACACAACCTCGGTTCCCTCATCAAGCAAATATATGCAAATCAGATTTTGCTATATCAAGCTCTCCATCTCCCATTTTGATACAGCATAAACTGTAAGAAACCTATTAGCCTAAATCTTTGCCCATATTGGCTAAGAACTCTAGCCTGTAGCCTTTACTCTTCCAGGACTGCAACTGCGTGTTCTTTCTTCCTCAGACTGTGTCTTCCAGCACAGCCTGCAATATGACTGTTCTTACTCAGATCTTCCTAGTAAGGCCTAGTTCCTTTTTCAGTGCATGGCCAAATACCAGCAATAATAATATTATATTCAAATTCCCCAAAAGCAAAGTGCCCTCCTCCCTTAAACATATTCTTCCTTCTCTGTACTTTCTGCATATTTCAGCTACTCACTGCAAGGCAGGCATTACTTACTATGTTTTGTCTTGAAATATGCTCAGTATGACTTCAGTGCTTAACAAAAAATAATGCTTTGGATAAGTGAGAATTAAGCGTGCAGTCATGGATCAGTAGAGTACTCTTGTGCTCTGACTAGCTGAAAGACTTCCATTTCAGCACATTTCTATAATAATAATAATAATAATGAACTCTGCACATCTAGAGTCTGCTTATCACGCTGAGATTTGACCAGATATTTAATAATTGTACCAGAAAGGTCAATTACTTTGCTTGAGATTACTCTTCATGAGGACAAAACAAGATGCATTTGGTTCAACTTCCTGCTACCCAAGGATGCCTAAAGTGGAGCACTTGATTTGTTTTATTGCACTTCAAATYTGACTGCAGTGGGTCACTTGTAGGAATACTATAAATGCCAGTTGTTTCTCCTCATCGGGGAGGACAGTAAAGTGCTTGGGTAATTGTACTGAGCTGAGCAATGGCACTTCTACAGCCAGCAGGCTTATGACCTTATCAACAGATTCAAAGCTCTATTACAGCCCAAGAAGTTCCCCACTTTCTGGGGAAGGCCATGAGACAAAGCTGCTTCCTCGAAGTACTGTACAGCAAGTGCCTGATAAAGAGCAAAGATAACTAAATACACATGACTTCTAGAGAATAAACCTAACTGACCTAGGTGACATGTTTGAAAAAGTTTATGTCTACCTGCATATACTTTGTGAAACTAATTCATTCTTTTCTATCCTACTGATATATGTATTAATATTATATTAATATACATACATAATATATATAGGCTAACAGATATTATAATTTCCCAGAATAATACAAGACACAATTTTCCCARTGGTAGTTCTTTCTCACTGGTAATTCTTTCCCACAGCTTTATAAGAAAAAGAATATCAGCTCATGTATTCACAACATTGTGGCAGAAAGAAGAAACAAAATATGGACCTCTGAATGTTATTTACATCATCTAGATCAGGGTTTCTAAGTGTGGCTCCAAACCATTTCTTCCAACTGACTATACATGGTACTTTGGTTTTAAAATGTAGCATAAACAGAACTACTCTAAAGTAAACACAAAGAAAAACATGGTTTCATCTTCTTAACTGCCATAGAATGTTTGCATAATTTAAGTTAATGTCTAGTCACCTAGTCAGAGTGCAGCACCTTAGTGTTTTCATAGATTGACACACACATAAAATATTAGACTTGTAGATTTATCTACTTGTAGGGAAGATAAAATATATATTGCTGTCTGGTCTGCCTTGGAGAAGAGTGTTTTCCCTTTCTAGCAATAAATATCTCTGCTCATGAGTGAAACAGATGAAYTAAAAAACTATGCATAGGAGTCAATGCTTCGGGTTGCCTGTAGATGCTTCTAGTTTCAACAACAGGCAAATATGATCAAGTTTAYCTGAAGAGAGATAAACAACCACTTTGAACACAAGGCCTGCAGAATTTCAGTTACAAATCTAAAAGCAGTAGTTTTTCATAGGCTTCAGAATTTCACTGGGAAAGTGATTAGTATGATTATCATTAYTATGAAAGACATGAAAATTAGATAAGAAAAACAATGTAGAAAAATACTTTCTTGGCTCCACTTCATGTCAACTTATTGCAAAAAAAAAGAAAAAAAAAAGAAAACAAAGGTGTTTGCAAGGAGAACAGTGGAGGAGATGCAAGGAGAACAGTGGCCAGATTTYGAACTAGGTAGCTTACCAAAAATTAGCACAATCTCTTTGTAAAATATGATGACTCAGTCATAGGATTGTGGACAGATCATAAAATTCTTATGCTTTGCTTTAAATATTCAAGTATTTTTCTTCTAATTCAGCAGAATCATTACTGCTAGTTCTACTATACTTCGCTTTTCCTTGATTAAAAAACATTTCTTTTCCAGATAAATTTTGTCTTCCTCAGTTAAAAGACACAAACAAAAATACACAAACGTTTTGTTTTCTCCTTAAGAGCTCAATAAACTGCAATTACACCTGCAATGTTTTTTTCTAACCAATTTAACATTATTAAGTGCATTGTGCATTTCTGAGATTTGGGGAGGCAGAGGCTAGKAGTTGGGAGGATTTTTTTCCAACCCCCCCCCTCCAGTTTGTCATAGAAAGTCCTGTTGTGATTGATTGGAGATTAATAATCGTGACATCAAGTTGACTGTAATACAGTTCTTTTCTAGGAATGTCATGTTTATTGCCTCGAGTGAGCTGCATCAAATTGAAAGTCCAAAAAAATTATGTGCCAAATGCTCCTGTGGGCACAATTCGTCACTCGCCTTTTTCCAAGCCAGTGACATGCAATTAAAATAGCATCATATAAATAGACATAAAAAGTTTGAAAATATTTTAATTCCTCAGAGATGAACAACTTGGACAATACATTAAAGTACATTTTCATGCTGTATTGTACTATAATATTTGGGTGGGAAACTGATTTGAAGAAAAGCACTAATCTATGGAGTTTGGTGCTGGAAGCTCAGTATTTCAGATCTTTTTGCAACATGAGATGATTCAACTAGATTTTTTTCCATCAGCTCTGATTTGTATTTTTCTACTAAATATTCAGTCTTAAGAATAATAAACCAATTTGTTCTGACACCAAAAATGTAGATTCAGAACCTAGTTTGCCATTAATTTCTTTGAGAAACTGTCGTAGAGAAGTATAAAATAACCCTTGTGAGTATCTCTATAGTTCCCAAAGGCCGAAAAGAAAAGCTTTTTCAATATATACTTTCATAACTTTAAATAATAAAGTTGCCAGTGAATCATCTTGCTAGAAAAATGTGCATTTTCTTCTGAGCTCCAAAAAGGACAAAGCACAATTCAATACAGATATCAGGACACCAGAAACCCTGGATCTGTTCAGAAGCTGCTTCAGCCCACCTGATTTTCTAGTGACCCAAAAATATAATTATTGAGGTGGTAAGATCTTTGTGACATATATTGACGATGCTGGATGTACTAACATTTCAACATTTGTTCATTAGACTCTGCACATTAACTTATCTCATATACCTGGAATTTTGTAGGCAACTAGCAAGCAACCATGTTAACTTTTCTGTCATCTGCTTAAAGCATATCTCACTTCTGTATACTCATTTGGGGTGTTTCAGTGGCCTTCCTAATCGCAGTTGTTTTTTCAAGATCATCTTGAACCTTAAAAAAATTATTCTATGTTCAGTGTCCACAGCAACATTCTTCTCTGTGAGGCAGATTATTTTGTTAGTTGCTATATCAGATAGTTTGCAATTCCATTTTAGAATAATATTTCAATATTACAACCTAAGTATTGTATATGTACTCTGCTAAGCTAAGGCACATTCTGTTATTCTCTCTCCAGATGGGTTATGTTATGCACTTTCCAGGAAAGAACAGTACCAAGTGAAATTTCCAAGTCATTTTTTTGGAAGAAATGAGTTGCAACTGCTGATACAAACTCTGCACCTCATTTATACTAAAAGTAAATGCTAAAACTGCATGGCTCTCTTCAAACACCTAATTTAAGAAGAAAAAAGTTTCCTCTCCAATATACTGAGCTAAGCAGATGCATTATTTACGTATCTCCCTTGGAAGCATTGGTTGGAACAATCTCAAGAGAGTTCGTTCCTGAGGAATGGAAGAAAGCAACAACCACCCCTAACTTCATGAAGTGCCAGAAGGAAGATATTCATGGGAAAGTGAGGGAGCAACTATTCCTGGAGACTGTTTCCAGAAACATGAAGGATTGGAAGGGGATCATGAATATTCAGCATAGAGTTATGAAAGGGAAATTCAGTTTAACCACACAAATAGGCTCCTGTGACGAAATGACTGGTTTAGTGGATGAGGGGAGAGCAGTGAATGTTGCTTAGTTGGACTTCTGTAAGGTTTTTCATCATCACCATTTGATCAGTCTCTCCTGCACAGGAAAAGATGCGAATAAGGTATTGTCTGATAAAGCCTGCTCCTTCTGTTGCATGCAGAAAACTAGACAACCTAAGAGACAGAGACCATCCTCCCACTTCCTCTTAGCCTCTTCTATTTAGAATGATTTACTACTCCACAGATACCCGGAACAAACCATTTTTTGCCCAAGAGCACTGGACAAATAAATAAGCACAAATGAAAAAAAAACACTCTGCATATTTTCTCCCTTGAAACTGGCTGTAAACCTTCAGAGAAGAGTGGGATATATTTGAAACTCACCAAAACTTCCGCAGTCTTCAACACGGAGGCCTAATTATAAGTGTATCAGAGCCAAAAGTGGACCTCTTGCCCACAAGAGATTAATGCTTACAGCTAGGCATGGAGTTGAGAGGGAACAAAACTCCCACATTGTGGAGTCTTCCAGTTAGAGGGCATGGGAAGGACAGTACTGAAAGAGACAGAATGTTTTAATAAATAAAACTAAGTAGATATAATGTTTTTCAACCAAAAATATGCTTCTTGAGGAGTCCAATTTTAGCATGATTGAACTGCTACTAAAACATTACATACTGACTTTGCTAATGATAGTTTCCATTTAGAAAACTATTGCTACATAAAGTGAACAATCTTTTATACATATACATATTTAGATTTTCAAATAATGTCTATCAGAAAGCTTTTAAAAGCATAAAACTTGGCTAAATGTATCATACATGGGTCATGACAGCTCATCACTGACAAGAAAATCATCATCTATGTACAATTTGYTTGTGTTTCTGCAGAGTCCAGCATCAAAGGAGCTACAGATTCACTGGTAAGTCATACACTTTTCTCAGATTTTTTGTCAACAATCCCTTCTGAATAAAGAATGGATCACCCCATTAAGAAAAAATCCCAAATCCCTTTTAGATTGTTGCAGTCTTACTGGTGGGGGAGAAGAGGGAACGGAAATGACCAGAGCTGTCTTGTATTTATGATTATACTGATGAATACTGATAAATTTAAAAAGCAAATGTGCTTTTGATATATGGGCATGATATATGGGCATTTGGACTATTTGGATATATGGGCACTCAGACAGTGACCAAAAATGGATGTTAAAGAAAAAAAAAAATACAAACAAACAAACACATCTCTTCTAGGGCTGGAAGAGGGGGAAGAGACATAGACACCTACTCAAAAATCTTCTAAAATATGGGAGATATAAAGCTCTGCAGTTGACAAAGTTGACAGCTCTGGCTCTCCTGTCATCTCTTCAACTCTCAGGATTGCTAGGAGACRCATCCAATTAATCACATCTGTAAAGAGACTGCATTAAAGAATGGCCTGTATCCCAGGCAAATAGAATCTAGACATTGAAGCATTTCAAACTCAATCTGTATAATTACATCAAAAACTAAATGAAAGCCAATATTTTGTAAATAAGAGAAATATACTTCATATTTACACTCATCAGCAAAGCTGGAACTAAAGTTGCTGTTAATAATTATTTGACTAAGTCATCATAATGAATCTCAAGACCCATTTCTGTTCACTTCATGACAGCACAAGTGACTATGCTTCTTTGACTATGGAGGAAGGAAGCATGAGGAAGCTGCAGCATGAATCACAAGGCCATAGTAACACTAGTCTCTGTAAAAGGTACTTATGGGAGAAATCAGCTTTTTCGATCCCTGCGATAAATCTGTGTCTGCCTGTACAAATATCTGAAAGTTCATTCATTCATTTTCATCTAAAAGTCTCATTAATCAGTATTTTTTCCAGGAATATTGCAGCAATCATCTGATCAAGGAACGGGTAAAACTTGTCATATGACTTGTTTAATCCTATTCAACTAAATAACAAAGTTCAAAATAGCAACTGTGAATCATAAAATACTGTCAATAATCACAGCTTAATGAAGAACACCAAGTGCATATTTATACAATACAGCTGAAACAATTCTCCACAGTTTTGTGGGCAGAATTCCTCAGGATAGAAGTTCAAAATACATATCTTGTTCTAGAAAAAAAAAAATAAAATAAGCAGAGCACTTTTTGGAAAACCTCTGAGGTTGTCATGCAGGATTTCTAATCCAAGTATTGTCAGAGGTAGTAAGGGAAGTCAAATGTGAGGCGAGTTCAACACAGATTGCTGAGCTGGTCCGAAGTTTCTTTTTTTTCTCAACTTCACGTGGATACTTTAAATTCTYATCTTTATCCTGATGAATGGAATAAAATGCCAAAATCTATAAAGTCAAAACCCTCAAATTTTGTCAAAAATTTTGTTGGTTTTTCAATTTATTAGATCATCRCTTCTATCTCCTCGCCTGTGATTGCAGGTACATTCATTATTTTCAGTACTTAATTTCTCAATGAACAGGAAGATTTGTTAACTAACAATGCTTGTAGACAATCATGTGGTGGTATATACCTGAAATTAAGATGACCAACAAAAGAGAGAAACCTGTAWTTCAATAATTAACCATTTCTAGTGCAAATGAAATTTCCAAGTGGCATATTCATGATAATTTACACTTGAGGCCAGATACATTAGCCACAAGGAAAGAAAGAAAGATACAKGACAGTCAAAGAACTACTGATGCTGAAAAAAAAAGTCAGAAGAACAATATAACTCTGAGCATTGCACAGCTAATCCCAATAAGCAAGGTATTTACTGAGCAGCAGAGAGTAAATTTCAACCTCTATGGTTATCAGTTCACATCAAAGCATAAGGTCTGATTTTATCTTTCCTAACAAGAAAAATGTTACTGATCTTAATATTATCAGCTCTCTTTAATAATGCAAATACATTCTCCATGTGACCTCTTGCAGAAGCGACTGCCACAGGTTGAAGCACACTCTGAACAGAAAATGACTTCCTCTTTTCCATTCCAATTTTAGCTGGTGTTCATGYCTATGATCAACACAGTATGCATTTATAACAATTACCTCTGGAATACAAGAGAACAAAATTATATCACACTTCTGCTTTATAACTTAGCTAACAGTTTATGGCTACATTTATATATCATCTCTGAATTCAGGATTGTCTACAAAGTTTTACAGATGGTTTTGCTTTCTCCTGAAAAAAAAATAGACCTAATTACATAGGTCTGACAGATGAACAACCATACGTGTTTTCTTTGTTATTGTTGGGGGCGTTTTTTTCAAAGGCAGAACATTGGATCATTCAGAGAACTTCCCAGAACTCTGAGCTTCTGAGCTAATCATCTTAAACATGGAATGAAACATAAAACTTTACAAATATTGGTTTTGTGTCTGCTRGCTTCTTTGTGGCTCCATCACTTTCACCTCCATAACTTCTGTGTAGGCAAGTTAACCTTCTTCCAAGTCAGCTTTTAGTTCTTTAAATAAAGGACATTTGATTACCTTTATTGTCCTTTAAAAAGGAGAGAATACACGTACAGAAACATGAGGCTACTTATCTCATTACAAGTCCTTTTAAGGAAAGCTATACTGACTGATTTTCACGTTCTGACCTTATGAGCACATTTACTTTACCACACTGAAGAAGTCATCCATGAAGGCATACAATTTAAGTTACCTGCAAAACTCCATGACACTACATCCTGATCAAAGACATTAAGTGGAATTTAAATTCTCAGTGCTTTCCTGAGCTTTTCAATTTATACCATAGCATAGAGACAACCTATGCTGTCTTCTTGCTGAAATCCTTACCTTCTTTTTCAGATAATTTTAAATGCTCTACTTATTGCTAAATATGTCTTCCACTACTATAGAAAAAATATTTTTCCACACATTCTTCACTAATGCAGAAAGATGACCAAAACAAAACCCCAAACCCCTCAACTCTGCCTGCCTGCAAGAGTATTCCACAAATCCAGTGTTTTTTGGGGTTATTTTTTGACTAATTTTCAATACAACTATGTACCATCTCCACTGCAAACTTATCAAAGAATCAGGAAATAACATTATTTCAGTCATTTTGAATATAGAACAGTTGGCATCTATTGAGGCTTTAAAAGACAGCCAGAATTACACCTCCATAYTGTGTATCTATATGGTGAGAGAAATCTTACTTAACTTATAGATGTTTACATTATAGAAAACTAATCTGACCTCGGCTGTTTAGTCCCCTTTGATAGCTATCTGAGAGAAATAAGCATTTTTACAATGAAATTTAGAATGAAATGAGCTGGTGGGAGCAAAGGGACGAAGACAAGCATTAAGAACAAACAGGCAAATGTAAATTGGCAAAAGCTACCAAAAAGGTTATTTTGTAAGTTCAAATAGAATTTGGAAGCACATGAAATGACAAGGCTAATGAAATCAACAACTAACGTGTTTCAGTTTTGAGCAATTAAGCAGAATTAACAAACAAACACTCTTTTAAATTGTATACTATAGTCACCTTTGCTTTTCTCTTTCTTACAGTTTCTTATTCATACAAAAGCAGAAATAATTTACTGGCTTTTAAGTAGTGTTTTGACCAAGGTCTACCATGAGATCAAAAATCAACTGTTTCAAAGGACTCTTTTCGATTTAGTTCCTTTCCCTGTTGACTCCTGAATCAAGAGCAACACAGGAGAGAGAGAAAAGTGGTAGAATCATGCAGTCTAATATGCAGTACTAGATACACACAGAAGCTAAAAGCAATTCTTCTTTACATATCCTCAGAAAAAAAAAGTGCTTAGTTCCTTCATTTCCTTTGAATGGCAGCTATGCAGGTGGATACTTGTAAATAGTTAAGACTAGAGAGGAAACAGGACTGAAGCAAACATGCAATGTTCATGACACAACCAACATAAAACAACTCATTTCTTCACAAGATAAGAGTAATTCARTCACCTTCCAAAGGGACACTTGCAGGGAGGATGATATAAGTGGGCTATCTGCTGCTCATGGCAGCACAAATAATTGAAAGGAAACAAGCTGTTCAGAGATAAAGGAAACAATATCATTGTTAGGCCAAAACATCAAGTTCTAGATTACCATACTGTGAGAAATATATCTCCATTCTCATCTTTGCAACAGAACATGGATTTGATTTGCTTTTGTGAAGTTTCTACACACTTACTGCTTTCCTCCCTCCGATCTAGCAACRGATCTATCTGAAGGAGCTCATTCTGGAAGAGGAATTTTCATGACTTTGCACATCAATTTGTTTTACTTTTTCCATAAACACTTATTCCATCACAACTGCATCCAAAATTGCATTCAAATGTTTTGAAACTCCATAGTATGCATGTTGCTATGGTCTATGAACAGCAACAGGTAAAGGTACTTCAACACATTTTATTACCCMCGCTGTCCATTTCAGATTAGTCTATCTTTAGATTACTATCAAAAGAGCATTTTATAGGGACCTTCACCTGCAGATAGGCTAAGAATAACTAAGATCAAATGCTGCTTGGATGCGATGAAGCAAACAGACAGCATATTTGCCTATTTTCCCTTATGTATCAGAGTACTGCATCACACATCAGTGTATCTGCAAGGTTTCTGGACTTGCTGAACAGCRCTAGCAGTAAAGAGGTTAATAAAGACAGTGCTTGAAGGGTTCACCATCCTTTCAGCTGTTACTTAAAAATATGAAATACCCACACACTATTGAATTTTCTTCTTAAAATAACAGACAAGAAGAAACATTGTCTCACTTAACTAAGGACATCTATACTCAATTACAAACTTTCCCTATAAGCAGGCAAAGGCCCCATATTTCTGCAGGACAGGATACCAAAACCTTCAATACAGTCAGGCAACTAAAGATAACCAAAGGAATGAACACGATATATAACAAACATACTTTTCCACAGACCAGGTTGCCATGTAAATGACATTTATGTAAATGCAGTCACCATTTCTTTTGGTAAACAAAGCTTCAAAGCTTTCTACTGATCATAAAACTTAGTCTTTTAATCGTATAAAATTGAAAGAATGAGAAAATAGGTGATGATCTACTAAAAAGCTACACAATGCTCTTGAGCATCACTTTGAAATTATAAAATAAACTTCTTAAAATTAGTAAGGAAGACAAATGTAGTTATTCAATTGAGGATGGGGAAAAGAGAAAATAGAGGGAAACTTTCCAAGAGAATCTGTTAGGTCTTTGGCATAGAACAGTTTCTCTAGGAATAAAGGAAGAGGTGGACAAAAAKGTTTCAAATACCATAAATTACTACCATGATCAAGATGATCTCATCCACAAAAATAAGCCTTTAAAAGCTTTCATGCATAACACAGAATGAGATATCAAAAATCCATAACAGGACCYGGCCACTAACTGTATGAAATTCTTAACATGATCCCCAGCTTTAGGCAGGTGAACCACAGCT